GGGGGCCCAGCCACGGGGCAGAGGGCAAGGCCCCTGTTCTCAGGGACACTGACCCCAAAGACCACGGTTTAGCCATCAAGGGCTGCTACCCATCCACACTCCCCACTCCAGGACACTGAGTGCTGACATCTCTGCCACGAAGCCCTTGTCTGATGACAGGGAGAGAGGACCCAACTCTCATGGAGGCACAGAGAGGCTAAGGAAGCTGCCCATGGCCACACAGCGTTACAGGCCATCCACCACCCCCGCAGCAGGGAGAAGCCTGCGCTCCCAGAGGCTCAGCCCTCCTTGTGGGGAGGGTGAGTGACTCTGAGGCGGCACCAAAGGAGGGGGGACTCGGGTGACACAAGCTGCCATACCCATCCCCAACACACACCCGCATCAGGCACGGACTCCCTCAGCCTGCACGCAGTGGGGTCTGACCTCGTCCAGGAAACCCCCAAACCCAGAGTCAGACAAGGGCTGACTCCAGGGCTCCAAGAAAGCTCAGGGGGAGGCCTCGAGCCAACCACACGCTCCAACTCCAGCCAGAGACTGGAGGGCTCCTGCTTCTCCCCTAACCTGAAGCCCATAGATGGGCTCCCTGGGGACGGGGCGGCCACCCCCAGGGGAGAGGGGAGGCTGCAGGGCTGGCCTGGGCTTACAGACTCGCTGCACAGAGAGGATGATCCAGCCAGCCCCCTGCAAAGTTCCAAAAACGATCCTAACACTCGCACTCTGAAAGTCCCTGCTAGGAATTTACCCAAAGAAGGAAAAAGCTGTGAACACAAAGGAGGTCACCAGAGGGTTGTTTATAAAGAGACAGACACTGGAAGATTTAAGTGGCCGGCAAGAGCTGCGTCGTGATGGCGCTGCTCTTGCCAGACTGCAGCCTCTAAATCCCCAGCAACAGACAGCGAGGTGCACCTAAGGTGGCTGTTTTCTCAGGAACAGGCTATAAAATTGTGGCGAGATCACGGTTAAGACCGTCCTAAAGCTCCAGGCAAGAGGCTCTGGACAGACAGAAACAGCTAACATGTCCATCTGAGACTCAGTTTGCTCATCTGCGAAATGGGGCTAACCCCACCTCCCCAACCTCAGCAGGTGAGGCTGAGACGTGATGACGGGCCCAGATGAGCACTCAAGTAGCAGCAGCTAAAGCAAATCAAGACAATGGTGCATCTGCCACGCCTGAGACTGGCAAAAAAAAAAAAAACGAGACCGAAAACAGTCGATGCCGCCGGGGAGAATGAGGAAAATAAGCACCCACCCCCACCTGCTACTGCCGGAGGGTAACCCGACAGCGTCTGTGACAAACTTCAGGGCGCACGCTGAGAGCCAGGAATTTCACAAGGAACTTGACCTTTGCATGCGCTTGGAATGTCAGGCCAAAATATGTTCATGACAGCGCGGACTGTAAAAATTATGGACGAGACAGGAGCAAGTGTCCACCAGCCAAAGGGCAACAGAAATTGTGTCACCCACAGCATGGACACGAACGAAGGGCGCACCGACGCCCCTGGCACAGAACGTTTCTGTGCTCAGAAGGACCTCGAGTCGCTTTGCATAATTAGGCAAAAGTACTGAACTATTTTTCTAAAGGTAGAACCAGAAACTTATTTTGGGGAGGGACAATGGGATTCCACAGAGATTTGGAAGTAGATCTATTTTTAATTTTATACCTTTGAATTTTTTTTAACTGTAGTTTTTCTAACACATACATGTTACAAATATATATTGTATTTGATGTGAATTGAGATGTTACCAGGGTGATCTAGATGCAGGCTTACAGCCCATCTCTTCACTGTTGTCTTTTTTATTGTGATAAAATATATATAACAAATTTTAGCGTTTTTAAGAATTTTTTAAAATTTTGTAGAGATGGGGCCTGGCTGGGCTCAGCAATCCTCCTGCCTCAGTCTCCCAAAGTGCTGGGATTACAGGCGTGAGCCACTGAGCCCAGCCTCATTTTAACTATTTTTAGTACAGTGCAGTGGCATTAAGTATATTCACAGTGTTGTGCAACCATTATCATCATTTCCAGAACTTGCCAAATATTCCAAATAGAAACTCTGTCCCCTTTAAACATGCATTCACTCCCTCCTCCTGCCCCGGCAACCTCTCGTCTACTTTCTGTCTCTCTGAATGCAACGACACTAGGTGCACCTAAGTGGAACCGGACAGTATTTGTCCTTTTGTGATTAGCTTCTCTCATTTAGAATTTAGAATAATGTCCTCAAAGTTCATCCATGAGTAGCACGGTCAGACTTTCCTGTTCAAGGCTGAACGCTCTCCCACTGTAACGATACGCGTGTGTCACTGTGTTCACTGGTCAGTGGACATTTGGGCTGAGTCCCCATTTTCGATTCTTTTGGGTGTAGACCCTGAGCGGAATGCCAGATCATACAGTAACACTATTTTCGAACCGCGAGACTGTTTTCCACAGCGGCTGCGCCATCTTGCACCCCCAGCACTGCACAGGCCTCTGCTGTTTTTGAGTCAGCGTTTTCTTTCAGTGGCTGCTCAGGAGGCCAGCTGTGGGCTTCTGGCTTACTCCCCGCCCTGCGGGTACGTGCGGTCTGTGAGGTAAGCGACAGGTGCTGTGCTGCCAGCGACCTTCCTCAGCAGTCTAGGAAAACCCCACGCCCCAGCCCTGGCTGGTGGCAGCCCAGGTGTGGCCCAGGTACGCCTGGGGCAGGTCTGCCCCGCCTGCACAGGCCTGGGAGCCGTCTAGACAGCAGAAGCCTGGCCTTTGTGCACCAAGAGGGGAGGTGCAGCCAGGGCCCCTCCTGCCACCCGAGGGCGGGGAGGCCCCAGCGGGAAGTGGAAAACTTTACTGTGGCACTTACCTCAAGGGCCCCTCCCAGCGCCAGGGATTGCTGGTGACCTGCCCAAGGCCGCTGCCCCTGGAGGCTGCAGTGAGCTGCGTGTGGAGTCCGGCCTCCCCGCCCGACATCAGCAGGCCGAGCGTGGCCAGGGAAGAGCACGCGGTGAGCTCTGGGAAGCGTCTCCCCGCAGGCCCGGGCCTGCCCCGGGCGGCCGGTGCAGGCCGGGAAGGCAGCGAGCGCAGGTGCAGCCGGTGGAGGCCAGTTCCTCCCACCGCGGCCACGGGCAGCTGCAGCAGAGCCCCAGGTCCTCTGGCGTCAGGCCTGTGGCTCCCGGGACCCTCAAGCCCCCTCCCAGGCTTCTCAGTTTGTATTTGGTCCAGGGAACACCAGTCAGGGTGGGACATGGTTAAAGGTGCAGATTCCTGGGCCACGAGCCCTGCCCTGGATTTAAACTACAGTTTGGTGCCAGCCAGGAGTCCACGCTCAGAGCTGGGAAAAAGCCGGCCTCTCTCTCTGGGGAGGAACTCAGAGGCAGGAGTGTGGGCCCACGCGGTGCTGGCAGAGCTCCTGCCATCCGGGGATGTGTGCAGGGGCCACAACTACCAGGCACGGGTTCAAAAGGGGAGAAAGGTCCACATCGGACCCCTCAGCCTCCTGCCTGCTCAGCTGTGGGTCCTCCAGCAGAAAGGGGCAGGAAGACTCCAGAGCGATACCACCCCCCAAGTCCCCAGGGAGGACAGAGAGGCTGGCATGCCCCTGGTGACCAGCTCCATGCTGACCGACTCACAGGCTAAATGCCCACATGGCCACTGATCCCCAGCCCGTAGGCGGGAGGGCGGGACCTTCAGACCCCAGGCCGGTCTCCGAATCACCTGGAAGGCAGGAAATGGCAGGACCTAGTTAAAACAGCCCCCACTGGCTGTGTGAACCTCCAGAAGGCACCGTGACTGCGGGCATTTGCGGGGCCGGCCCCGGTCAGCTGCTTGGTCTCCTGGCAGGTGGCTCAGTGGGAAAAGCCCTTCCTGGGCCTCCCTGCCCTTCTGAGGCTTTTGTTTGTGAGACCATGACTGTGGCAGTGCCAGGCGAGAGCTTCGGCACGCTCCCTCCCAGTCAGACTTCTCCCATCCTTTGCTGTGGACCAGGAGTGTTTCTCAAATGTATGCAAGGAAGCTTCAGCCGCCTCTTCCAACCCGGTTGTCACCATGAGGCTGGAGCTGCAAGTGGGAAGGACCCCGGAGTCCAGCCCGGGGTGCAGCTGGGACGAAGGGGCCTGGAGTGGACAGGCCACAATGATCAAGGGGCTTCCCGAGGAGCCAGCAGAGGGAGGAACGTGAGGTGCCCAGCGATGTCTCAGGGCCTGGGCTCCAAGACACTGATCCAGACGGGATTCGGTGAGCTGACGGGAGAAACGAGGGGTGGGCGGGCTGGCTTCCTCCCGGAGTCCGGGAAAGGCAAAGGTTTTGCCTTTTCTCTCACCGCAGTACTTACTGCAGTAACCGGGCTGAGGCGGCCCTCGAGGCTGCATCTGGGAAAGAGTGCTAAGGCCAACGGCAGCGTCTTCTCCCTGCCACACCCTCACATGGCGAAACCCAACTGCCTGCGGCCTCCTTAGAGCAGCTCAGGTGAAGTGCCACTGGGCAGGCTTTGGCTCTCGTACTGAAATACATTTTCACAGAAGCTTTTTGCCCATTTTAAAGTGCAGCTATCAGATATTCTGAATTTTCCAGGTACATCAAATTCACATCTTGTAGCATCTTTGACCAACTTTGTTTTAATGAGAGTTTGAGGTTACCTGTGACATCCCCCCTCGCCTCCAATTAACCGTGTACTCAAAAGGCAGCGCATTTTAAGACACAAGGGGGAGGGTGGGTGAAGAATCTCCCAGCTCAGGGTGCGACACTGCAGGCTGACCCATGCCAGAGTGCTGAAGCCAGACCCTGAGCCCAGAGTCGGGCGGACTCAGTCTGAAATCTGGCCAGACTCTCAGGTCCCAGGGAGATTCACCATCCAAAAATGCAAATGGATGCACCAGCTCGGGCTATCTGAGCCTTCCCGCCCCCCTGACTCCCAATACTAGGGGAAGAGAGTCCATTTATGCCAAATAATTCTGGGGCTGAATCAATGCATTCTGAGTGAGAGACCAAAAAACCAGGACTCTACTAAAGGGCTTCCATTCTGATCACCCAACACCAGGACTGTACAAACCAGTTTTATTAGGGAACCGCCCCAGGTGCGCCTGCTCATGCTCTTGTCACACCCGTTTCCCAGCTTGGCCAGGCTCAGAGGCAAGTTACCAGCTTAGCAAAGAGGAAAACTGTTCTGCAAAACAGCAACTGTCAGCTTAAGGCATTACTAACGTTGCAGAAGGAAAGCACAGTTACTAGGGAGTCTGGACAGCCCAGGCGATGACTTCTGCAAACAGGAAGCCCTCTAGGGCCAGACCATACGGCCATCAGAGTTGGGAGATGACACTATCGCTCTGGGACAGTGGGTCACTCCTTCAAACCCATCCATGTCACAGACAAAACACCGTCTATTCCTTGAGCTTTGTGATTTAGAAATTAGTTATATAAAAAGTGCTCTTGCCCCAGAAGCCCTGATGTGTGTGGGCCTCAGGGTGCTCCCGCGGTCCTCCCTGGCTGGAGCAGGGGAGGATGGAGATACATGGAAGGCTGGTCAGGCTCAGTTCTAGAAATGAAGTCACGACTAGGAATCGGGAGCCAGGGGGCCGAGACCCCCGCTGCAATCACATGCTGAATCCTTGTCCTCCCGAGAGCAGGTGCCTACGGTTCCTCCAGTCCACGGAAGAGCTCAGAGCAGGGCAGGCCAGTGTGGCCCCGCAGCAGCCGCCCTCACTGCATGCCGAACCACTGCTCCTGGTCAGCCCACTGGGCCGCCTCACTGTCGCTGCCCTCCAGGTCCCCTTCTTCCCCACTCCCTTCCATGTCGTCCACATCCTCCTCCTGAGTGGCATCCGTGGGACTCTCCTCCTTCTCCATCTTCTGCATCCCCTCTAGAGACTTCTGGTCATTGGGGTCCAAACTAGGGGACAACAAAACAAAGGAGAGGCCTGAATCTCTGCCTTGCTTCTTGCTGGCTGATTCGTCATCTCCCTGGCCCGGCAGTGAAATGACCACACAGTCAGAGAGAGACCGATAATGCCCGGCCTCTCCAAACTCCGGCTTCCAAGGCTGGGTCGAGGGAGTCCACCACTAGAAGTGAAAAAAGGCGTCTTTTCCTAATTTTTAGAATTCTCAATTTGAGTTTTCTCCAAAAATTTCTTAAACCTTTTCACACCTATTACCCCTAGCGTTCTGCTAGAGGAGGCTCCCAGATAACATTAATGAAAAAGTGACAAACAAACATCAACAGGCAAATTTATATGTGATTCCCTGAAAGTTGGGTTTTTGAGCCATGGGGTTACAAAAAGTAGTTATTTTTCTGTGAGTATAACTGTTCCATGTTCTTATGATATAATTAAACATATTAGCATTTCAGTAGTCAGCCAAAAACATCACAGATGTCATGGAACACATCTGTAAACTCCTAGGTTAGACCCCAAAACCCAAGGCTACCCCTACCTATTTGCATTTAGCAGCTAAGAGTCAACATGTGCCAATTCCCCAAAGTTCAGAAGCTCCAGAACATTCATTTATTTGTCTCCTAAGCCATCTTTCCTCTTGCTTTCATGACCATCACCCAAACCTTAGCCATCCCATCCCTAGCAAATCCCACCTCTAATGAAAGTCTGGTATTTATTTTCTCCCTTGCTTCTGGGCATCTAAAAAGCAGCTAAAATCCACGTTGGAATTGTTTCTACTTATATAAATGCAGATCTGTAACATCTCGTCTCTGAAGCCTTTCACACAGCTCTTACCCACACCCAGGGCCCCCACCCTCTGGACTCCCACCTGCCTTCTACAGACTGCTATGAAAGCCCTTAGCATGAGGTACGGTCAGTCTGCACGTCTGAGACTGACGGCTCCCGGAAACGCAGCATCCCCGGGGGTCACTGAGATGCCAGGCACACGAGTGGTGCTCAACTGTCTGCTGAACAAGTAAACGGATGTGATCAGAGTCATTAAAGGCAGCCCTTGACCATAACCTTACAGACACACAGACAACCCTCAAAGAAATCACTTCTCTATTAAACAGTAAGAATACCACTATTTATTAAGTATTTACTATGTACCAGGCACAGTGCTAAGAGCTTTACATGGAATAATCATTTAATCCTCAATCAATCATTCAATATCTAATAAGGTAGATAGATATAGACAAGGAAATTTGTTAGTAACTTGCCCAAGATGACAGGTGGTGAAGGTAGTAATCAAACTTCAGAGTTCAAGTTCTTAACTACTACAGTAGGTAGAAACATGGGAAGTACTTACAATACTTTGATTTGAAAAAGCAGAATATAAAATATAGACTAGGTATAACCCTATAAAAATATGTGTTATGTGTGGGCAAGGACAGGAAGATGATCTATACAAATGAACAAGGATGTTATAGAGGTGTGGGCTGGTTATGAGTGAAACAGTTCTTCAATGTTGTTAATATACTTTAAGAAAAAATTTTTAGAAGTCACGAATTCACAAATAACTCTTCTATCATTACTGTTATTATTCTGCTTTCAACCGTGGGCACAGAGTGTCTGTGTGTCTCCAGAACGCCTGTGACAGCTCACTGCCTCCTCTGCCCTTGTTATCGACCGTCCCCCGCGGGAGGCCGGATGCCTACCTTAGTGCTATACTATACTGGTCCATTGCTTCCTGATACTCATTGACAGCTACAAGGAAATCTCCAAGGATCCGGTGCAGGACACAGTCACTCTGATTAGCCAGTGCGTTCCGCAGCAGAGCAATTCCATCTTCATATTTCTGTTCTCTGCCTGGAAAAAAAATGATCCTCATTGTCCTAGTTCAACATTTTGAAAATACATTCCCATTCTAAGTCATATACACAAAACCACAACAACTGACAATATCTTTGCAGATGTCCTCAAGAGAATGGTGGTGAGACACAAAGTGAAAGCAAGTGCATCTGAGTTCCTACTCCGTTAGAAGATTTGCAGTTTGAGTTCTGATTTTTTAAAATGTACTCTTAACCTTAATTCAAATAAAAAGCCAAACTGCATTTGTCAAACTAGCCCAAACCCAGGAGTTCGTAAGTCAGGACTAAACAAGGCTAAAAGGGAAGTCAAAAGAGAATCCAGATGGTTTAAAACGGTTCAAACTGGCTAAAACCAGTTAGCTATATTGAACCCAAATTAATTCAGGACAACTAAAACCAGATAAAAATGAGCTAAACAGGTACCAACGAATAATAGCTGGGTTGAGCTAATCCAAGCAGGTCTAAGCCAGCTACATTTGGCTGTGCTAAATATAAACCAATTCAAGCAGGCTCAGACCTGCTGCAAAAGGCACACACCCATCTGGTCATCTGTAACCAGGTGGGACTAGGGAGTCCAAATGAGATCAGGTTTCGTAAAGATTAATGATGAACAGGGCAGAAAATAAGACACACTTACTAAGTAGTTCTGCTTTTTTCACCACAGCCTTAATGTAATCCGGCCTTTGAGTCAGGGCTTTATCTAATAAAGTTTTGGCTTTCTCCTGTGTCACTGGGTCTTCAAGACAAACAGTGGCTAAAAGGGTAAGGGTCTGTGCATTGGCTCCTAGAGTTTTGTAAACATTGTTAGCCATCACCATTGCTTCTCGAATACTGTTGGAGGCTAAGTAACATTCGATGAGACCTGAAAAAACAACACACAAAGTAGTTCAACCATATTACCATTCCAAGCCATGCTTCTACTCTGACAGCCCTCCAAATTGCAAACCTTTGAAGTTTCAGACAAAGGGCAGGCCAGGGGAAAACTTGGATGGTGAGATTAGACTGGAGGGTATGTTGACGGAATAGCTAAGAAGTGTTCTTCCCCAGAGCACTCGACAGACATGGAAAAAGCCTGCCCTGCAAAGGCACCTTTGGTCAGTGAAGGAACAAGCATGCGTGAGGAAACTGCAGCATGTGAGCTGCCCATCTGACTGCTAAACGAACAAACGTGACACTAATGATTAGTCTGTCATATGGCCAAGAGATTAAAGTAGTGAGAGATGTTTCCAACCAAAGCCAAGGTTTCACTGCCTCTTAACAAGCTGTTATTCTCCAGCTGTGTTCAGGCACCTGTTTTTTTTGGGGGGGGACTCCTACAGTCCTAAAGTGAATGTGTAGTTCTACGAAGGAAAGGACCTGTCAAGCAACCTAAGGAGAAAGGAAGCCTCTTTCATTTGAAACATAACAGTTATCTCAACCCTATAGTTACACAACTATTAGGTACCCATAAGAATTAAAAATTTTTTTAAAAATTAAAGAAAACATAACAGTTATCTCAAAAGGCTGGAGGCTGTCCTAAATTAGACGGACAGCACTTTATCAGATGGACCAAAAGTACTAAGAATGGCAGCTCCTGCCTCTCTTCCCACCCACAGGAAGATAGCCTATGGGGGCCACCACGAGAAGTCAACTCTCAACTCCTCATGCTAATAAGTTCAGAACAGAGGAAGAACTTTCTGGCACAAAGCACTTATCAAAACAGAAAAACAGCTTAAACCCCAAACCTACACAATCCCTGCCAGATTTTCTCTGCATACTCCTCCACCCTAGCAGCATTTATAACATTCATGCACACTCTTCACACACTGTGGTTACCTAACTAGACATTACCTAACTCTTAAGGCAATGTGTTGGACTCCAAATACGGTTGCTTGCAACTAGTTATTTGTTAGTTTTACTTTCCTGCTAAAGCCCCCCTGGAACTTCAGAAGGAAATGGAAACAGTGTACTCCACTAACCCAAGGCCTCCACCAGCAAAGTAAGGAAGCTCCGCTGGAGACTGCGAGAAGCATCGGAGAACATAAACGGAGTCCTCCTGATCCAACCTCCACATAGCAGCCTGAGAAGTCAGCTTGTGAGGCCTCACTGGCCAACTGGGGCACATCCTCGGTCCAAGCACTGTGCAGAGGGGCTACTAACTCATCTCTCGCTCTGGTGAAACAGGCACGCAAAAGAATGGAATCGGCATGCTAACAGCAGCCAGGAGGCTAGGGAAGTTATGGTTTCAGGATCAAGAATTAATCTAAACCAAAGGCTTGGTTTATTGGAGTTTCTTTAAGAACAAAGACAATCCTCCTGCCCCCAACAAAGCCACCACAGGCACAGGCTCGCTGGCTATATAAGCAGTTCTCTCCACCAACTTCCAAAATTTTATTTCTCAAATTTGAACTCATCTTCCTGTTAACAGCAAGTCACTCCTAGATTCCGGAGTTTATTTTTAAATTCTTATAAAAATATGTTTTGGAGGAACTGCATCTTTTAAGATCTATTTTAATGTCTATGACTGAGTCACCAAATGTTGCTGAAGCTGGCATAGCTCCTTTGAACTCCTAGGGTCAGTTCACATGAACTTAAAATATTTCATAACAAAACAAAGTTGGAGCCTGATTCTGCCCACTGTGGGGGTCGCAATGAACACACCAGTTCCCACAACCAACACTGTCATATGGATGTGGAGTCACCCTGTGAGTAATATCTCTGGCCCAAGGTAGGACGACTGAAAAAGAATAAAGACATAACCAAGCGATCTAGAATGGTGCCTGGCACAGAGAGATTCACATTAACGAGTGGGCTACATCTGAGGCAGGAAAAAAAGACTATCCCAACTACCCGCTCATCAAAAACAAAACAAACAAACAAAATAATAATAAAATAAAAACAATAATACAGAAAAAGAGAATGAGAAAAATGGATTCTGAAAGCACGGGGTAAAAAACTCCAGTGAAACTCCTAAATGAATGTAAATGCCTAATGCAACGGTTTCCAGATTTGTCCGCACATTGGCAATATCTGGGATCTTTAAAAAATACTGATGCCTATCCCCCAACTCCGCAGGTTCCCATCTATTCCAGAAAGATTGACTATCAGGATTTTTGAAAGCTTCCCCAGATGACTCTGATGTACAATGGATCTTGGGAAGTGCTGGCCTAAGGAAACCTTCCATCTGAGTGCCGCTGCCACCCTGGGGATTCACACCATTCATGTATGTTTTCTATCTTACCTTCGTAACAATCTAAGCGACAAGGTGCGAGCCGTATGGCCTCCCGAAAATGTATTATTGCTTCTTGGACTCTGCCCATGTTCCTAAGCGCTGCTCCCTTAAGCAGCAAAGCTTGAACACTATTACTATTCAGCTGAATGGCTTTGGCTCCTAAATAGAGGGCCCGAGAATAGCGTTTGCTATAGAAGCTGTGACACCTGGAAGAAAAAAACCGCCAGAAGTTATCTGAGAGAAGACTATAAAGCAACTTTATCCAAAACTCAAAGGGAAGGCCCTATGCATGATTCTTGTTATAAACTACACTGACAGCTTTAACCTAAGAGATTAGTGGAAAAGTAAAAAACAAACTAAAACATCTACCCTTCATTTTTAAGAGGGATATCTTGATATGGAAGGAAAAAATTATGGAAAAGAACCTGATGATCTGGACATGTTATTAGCTGAGAGACACTCGGAGAATTTGTAAAGCCAAGTCAGAAACAAAAGAGCATCCTTGGCCCCATCACTAATGGCCCAGTGCTAAGCACAAGGCATTCACTATCTCAATGAATGCTCACCTCTAGAAGTAGAGTTAATAGCCCATTTTCTAAATGAGAAAACAAACTCAGGGAGGTATTTGTTTGTTTTTGAGACACAGGGTCTCCCTCTATTGCCTAGGCTATAATGTCATCATAGCTCACGACAACCTCAAACTCCTAAGCTCAAGCAATCCTCCCCCCTCAGCCTCCCAAGTTGGGACTACAGGTGGGCACCACCACACCTGGATGATTTTGCTGTTTTTTTGTAGAGTTGGGGTCTCACTATGTTATTCAGGCTGGTCTCAAACTCCTGACTTCAACCGAACCTCCTGCCTCAGCCTCCCAAAGTGGTAAGATTACAGGCCTGAGCCACTGCACCTGGCCCAGAGAAGTAAATAATGCATTCAAAGTGACAGACCATGATTTGAATCCAGGACTGATTACCTCTTAAATCTGTGTTCAACCTATATTCTCTTCAGGAGGGACTACAATCTCTTAAAGAATCTACTGAAAACTGAAGAGAAAAGGAAATGCATCAACAAACCCAGAGACCACCCACGGTTCTGCATGCTGATCGGAAATATTGAAAAGGCGGCAGCCAAGGTTCTCCACATCCTCCAGCCTCCCTTCTCGTGCCAGCAGGTAGCCATACACATCCATTCCTAGACAGGAAGGTCACAGCAAGAAGCGGCTCTTTACACAAAGCAGCAAGGGTCCTTTACACAGCAGTTGCACCCAATGTCAGACCCTATGATGAGGCCCCAGCTCCTGCAGGGGAGCCCTTCCCACCATCAAAGGCCCCCCCTACTAGTATTTCCAGTTTCCTACAAAATAACTATAAAAAGCAAAATTCATCCCTCCCCCCAAAAAAGCAAAGGAGCAAAAAGACCCACCTCACAATTTGAAAGCCTGTTATTTTCAGGAACTCTTGTCCCTCTATCCTGTGGCATGATATACAGCTATCCTAACTCAACCAGAAAAGGCCCCAAAAAGGTATGAAGTAAGTTCTCTAAGAACTCTAAGCAGTCAAGAGTATACATTTAATATGCTGAAAAAGCCAATTAGTCTCAGATAAAGTTGGCCTATTCCAGAAAAAGCTTGTAGTTCTTTCTGGAATGTAGTTCATCAAAGCTCACTGTCTCCCAGACCCCCGCTTCACTCTCACGTTCTATAGGAAGGGCCCCATGCTTGCTGCCACCCATCTCTTGCCACCATTCTCCATTCCCTGTTATCCCTTCAGACTCCCAGGAAAATTCCCCTCAAACCAAGATTACTACAATACTCCTGCCTGCCCTTGGACTTGAGTATCAGCTTCCAATTTCAAATTGCCAACTGCTAACAGACTAGTACCTCTAACACCATTTTCATCATAGGTGCAGGCAGCTTGGAGAAAAGAACACTGAACAAGATGGATATCTTGTGCAAACAAACCCATCTTTCTAGACCTGCTTCCTCATCTGCAAGCTTGGAAAGGACCCTTAAGAGCCCATAAGACTGTTCATTGTCACAAGGACCTATTTTTTTGATGGCTTTTTTTGGGCTTTTACAAACAGACATCAGTCTATCTGACCTTAGTTCCCACTAGTCTTGAGCACTCACTGCCAGGGCCCCATCTGCCATCCTGTGGAGGTCCCTGTGGCAGACCCCTTCAGCTGCAATCTTTCTTCAGATCAGTAATTTTTCCGTTGTACACTCCTAATTATGGCCTTTAATTTTCTTATCCCTTTCTCAGTATCTGTTCACTTGTCCTTCTTTAATTACACTACGGACATAGTCAAACTAAATTCCCTAAAAGGATATTACAGTTTGAGGATGCCATCCAAATTCTCAGTCAGGCACATCATCAATTTATAAATCATAAGGAGGGGCTGTGACCCCCCCTTAAAAGAAAAAAGGCCAAATAATGATCTGTGGAGAGATGACACTTGAATTGAAGCAAAAACACTGTTCAAAATGGAATTACCTAAGTGTTAGAGACGTGTTAAGACTTTAGAAAAAATAAAATACTGTAGTAAGTTTTACAAACTATTTCCATGAAAATTGGTTTTCAGGAGTTCATGCTCCATTTCCTTCCTATCTTTCTTGCCCTCAACAGCCACCCTCTCTCTGCCCCAAGAATTATTTACCTTTTATCAGATAAGGATCCAACATCTGTGCCTGTTCAAACTTTAGGACAGAGTTCTTATTGTCTCCAGCTCTGAAGTACAGGTCTGCTAAGCTTCCCAGTAGGTCCACGTTATCTCGCAATAAGGACTTTTTCTCCAGTGAACTGTAAGATATTAAACGCTGAACCTTAAAATCTATTATAAATCCTCTTGGTTGTTGAATCTGAGTGATTGGGCATATAGATACTATTTTCTTTTGTATTTGTGTAAAATTTGTCATAATAAAAAACTTTAAGAATGAACTGTGCATCATAGATTTTGAGCTTATGATTTTTAAAAAATTATAGGATAAGATAGCAAATACATGGAGTAGAGCAGAAATCGCTCACTACCAACAAAGAACTTTCAGGTTGCAGTGTTTCAGAGGACAACATACACAACATCGTGTTAAAGGTAATGTCATTCACAAGTGATAGATACTTATTACTCAACTGGGTGACTTTGTACAACACAATCCCTAGCCTCTTGTCCTTGGACTTTATCTAAATAAAAAGAAAATCCCAGCCTTTTTGTTATGACAAGGGGCCCATTCATCCTCTGTGGTGAAGATATCTTGCTCTTGCTCTGAAAACCTATCTTGTCCTTTCTTGATAAACTTTGTTTCACACTTAAAAAAAAGAAAATCCCGTTCCTAAGAAGAATACCTAGGTCAGATGCTGCAATAAACTATGTTTCAGGAATGGCAGGGTGGGGAGGGATCCAACAAAGTTTTCTTCTAGGTTCAAGAATGACACACCAAGGCAGTGTGCTTTGCAAGAGTCACTGCCTTTGCATGCACAGAGTTGAATTCAGCCCAAGTTTACAGTTAAAGGTCCCTAACAGATATTATTACATTTGGAACATTCAGTACATTAAAAGACTAACACAGCCTAAAGACAACTGGCTGTACATCAAGAGATAAACATCTCATTTTTCTGTTTTGCTAATTGAGATACATCAGATCTCCAGACAGGGAAAGGGGCTCAAGAACACTGAATTAACTTTGTGGCACTCACCAGATGGTATTGATAGCTCTCGAGTTGTCACCAGTGTGCACAAAAGCATATGCTTTGATCCACACAGACAGCCAGTCCAAGTTAGGCACAGTTTGGATCACGTTCATTGTCATTGATGCCACCTCTGCACCTTTTACAGAAAGGGACAGCAAACCTAATCCAACAGAAAGCAGGAGAAAGGTGGTGAGGCACAGCGTCTCTCTTCCACAATGCAAGAAGCAATGGGTTCTATCTTCCCTAGACTACAAGGCAACCCCTTCCTTATTCTAAGCAAGATGAATATGACAGAAAGACCATAATTTATTAATAATATTTCTTGATCAAATATGTGATAATAGTAATCCTACTGAATCACTCTCTGGTGGAAACTTTTTAAAATTAAATCTATTCTAATGTATAGTCAAGATTGAGAACTACTCTCTCTGACAGTAAACACTCCATGAAAACAGGCAGAAAACGATCTATACCTAGAATGGCATCCAAGGCTAACGGGCACTGCCTCAGCACTTCCTTATAGCTGGTGACCGAAGGGCGCTCCTGACCAGCCTTCTTGTACAAGTTTGCCAGCATCATGTTTATCTGTACAGACACAAATGGTGGACAGTAAAATAAGTATACAATGCAAAGAAAATATCTCATCATGAAAAAGCCCTGATGTTCATCACCAGCTACTATACCATTTTTTACTGAAAACCCTACTCACAGTAGCCCTGTGCAAGTAAAGGAAGACCAACCCCATTCTTCAAAAGAAACAAGAAATTATTACCATTGCCTTCCTAGGTACTCTCATCCCTAAGAGGGAAGTCACATTACTTTCTCACTTACCTAACCAAAAGGGCCAGTAATACCTGGACCAAAGATGCTGACTCTGGAAACAGCAATAACGTTCGCTTAAGAAATGTCACAGAATGCTAGTTACCTTGATTCTTTCTTGATCTTGGAAAAGGTAGAAGATGAGCTACCTCAGAAGTGCTCAAGTTGATATATCTTAAATTTGGTTAACATTAAAGTATGAGACAGTGAGGAACTCTTGACACTGCTAGTTAAGAAGGATCAGATGAGTTTCTCCCAAAAGGAAATGAGACAGGACAGACACAGAAATACAACACTTGGCTTTCCTCTGATAATTAGACTTGTGGCTAGACTCTAGCCTTTCTGACACTTAAACCTTTGACTCATAGGTACTAACTCGCCAAAGTAATGTTACAAAAACCAAACTCAAACTGATCTCCAGAGATGATAATGATCCAGAGATCAGATACACTATTTAAATCACTGAGTGCAGACATCTGCACTTTAGCACAATTTAAATATGTAACTTAGTGAAGCTATTTAAAAATAATCCTACCTAAAAATGCAACTAGGAAAATTTGAGAAAACCTAAAAATTCCAAAGAATGTAGAAGTTTTAGAGAAGGGATAAATAACCTTGATAGTACAAAGAGATAAATAAAACACTCCAATTTAAAATTATTAGATCTTAAACACAACAGTGTTTGCTAGATCATTAACCTAAGAAAGCAGTCAATGTGAGGGCACAAAAGAAAAAATGTCAATCCCCAATCTCTTCAGTTATCTGTGGCTTGGTATGCCAGATATTAAGTCAAAAGAGTAGCTCTGAAGATGAAGAACATCTGTTCCAATCATAGACCTACAGTATATAAAACAATCTAGTATAGCATTAATCCACACTAATTCAAACAATGAAATAATGAAATACTAGAAATAAAACTATTTTTTATTTGGCCTCAGATTTCCCATATTAGGCTATTTTGAAAATGCAAAGGAAGGTACTTAAAGGAAAACTCCAGTATTGGTGTCAATCCTTAAGAGAATAAAAAGTTAAATTTAAGATCCTTTCTTGACTGCTAGTTACTAATAAACTGACTGATGGACCATCTGCCTCAAAAAATATCAAAATTTCCTTTAAGCTACTTGACTGTCACTGTGAAAGAATGAATTTTGAGTACTGCCTAGTGAAAAAGTCAATTCTTTTAAAAAAAGAGCTTTATTTGGGAACATCATAAAGCCACATTCCACCAGTTATAAACATAAGCAGTCATCATTTTCTGAAAACTGAGTGAAATATCGTATGTTGGTAAGTTTACTCTTAAAAGGTAAAGATTTACCAAGATTTTATAACCTAACACTGGAATTTTCCTTTAAAATGTGAGGGAACGTGTGGTGGTGTTTACCATACATTAACAGACGTTCATTTAGACGTATTTTGACTCACTTCCTTGTCCTTTACACAGACTGAGAAGCCAGTTAACTCCCTAACGGACAAGAAAGAAAAACTGTAAATATTATAAGTTTATGTTTGAGGCACACATCTTTGCTTGCTCCTAGCTACAAGAGCTCTACAGAATGAAGGATATGTTTTCCTAACAAATGCAGACTCCTCTAGTCCCTCTCAAAATGATGGCTGTAAACACCAAGCAGTGGATACTACAAAACTGAGCTTCTTTGCCATTACCCATCTTCCAAAAATGCCTCCCAAACACCCACAAGTCATTAAGAAGAAAATTACGGTATATTTCTAATAAGATAAGGAACAGTAACTTTCAAAGTTTATTGTCAAAAATGCCTTCTTTCAAAAGGAAGACACCTTCAGTATAGCAGCAGACATTCTTCACACATGCAAAAAAAAATTATTCTTGGGTAAGAGAAGACTTTCATAGTGTACCAGAACACAATTTTGTGTACAGCATCCACAATTATTATGAGACAGGTTAGTTCAAAACATACTTCCAAGTGGGGTTTGTTTTTTTAGCTCCAAGGATTCACCTCAAGACTTCTAGGTGTTTTTAACAGCAGCCACCATCATAAAATACAATGTAGAAATACCTCAGTTTTAAAAACTCAGAAAACAGTAAATAACTCCTCAATATGAGCTGCTGAAATATGTTCTCATCAAATTTGGTTACTTTTAAAATTCAGCACCATTTGGATAAAACAGCACTAATTAAAATACACTAACTAAAATACAATCTAAGCAGTCTCTACTGCTTAGATTACTTCTTTTAGGGGTAGGAGAATTTACACATCTTACCTATAAAATTCCTTACTATTAAGCACAAGTTACACAGAATAGTTTTTCAACGAAGTAGGAGAGGCAGGTGACATGACAGAATATGTTAGAATATTAAATACCGATATGAATTCAATCTTAAGAGCAAAGATTCTCACTGTTCTAAACTGGGCTTCAAAAAAAACCTGATCAGATGCCCAATGTAACACTCCTTACAGAATAGTACTTTAAAAAGTATTTTCACATACTTTTTAGATGTTACAAAAGTTAACAAAGAAAATCATTCATAGCCATACCACCCTGAATGTGCCCGATCTCGTCTGATCTCAGAAGCTAAGCAGGGTCGGGCTTGGTTAGTAGTACTTGGATAGGAGAAAATACTATTCTCTCTCATTTTACAAATAAAAGAAGAAGTAAAAGCTCAGAGATTGGTAACTTGCCTAAGTTCCCACTGCACACAATTTGCATGCCCTAAACTCAAACAAGACATCAGATCTTTTGATTTCAGTTAAAGGTGATCTCTTGGCTACAATATGCTGTCAAATCAAACACAAGTACATAATCCACACACAAATAAATACAAAGGGATCTTGCAGTCTTAATTTTGAAAATGAAGGGATTAATAAAACCATTCCCATTAACAAATGGGTACACCTATGTAAAGGAAAAAACGAAGTTCTAAAAAAGTGTTTTTGCCACTTAGAACTGTTTTGCTAATAAGTATTTCCTACAGTAAGAAACACCAAAGAATAAGCACTTGTAGTATTCTCCAGCTATCATTTTCATCAGCTGAATTTTCAGGGTCTCATAAGTCACTCCTCTATTTTTCCAAACCCCTGCTCCATTAACAGGGGAAGCAAGTGAGCATGACAATTGTCAGTAAAACGCTCAGATGGGCTCCCTGACACACATTTATGAGAAAACATGGAGGGAGCAGGGCTGGGAGAGCTGAGGAGGAGAACACATAAACTCTTCATTCAACTTACTTTGGGAGTTCTCTGTCTGGAAGGGATTCCATCGAGTATAGCAATGGCGTCTTTATCTTGTTTTAGCATTGTATAACACTCAGCCATTTTGTATTTCACTTCAATTTCAGATGGAAGACACTAAGAGACAATGAAAACATCTCTTCAAAATATGACTTCAATGGAATGGCAGTTCTCCAAAATGTTAAACAGAGTTATCATATGACCCAGCAGTTCTACTCCTAGGTATACAGCCATGAGAACTGAAAACATCTGTTCACACAAAAATGTGCACAGCATGTCCACAGCATTATTAGGTTTATTATTATTATTATTTTGAGATAGGGTCTTGCTCTGTTCCTCAGGCTGAAGTACAGTGGCATCATCATGTATCTCATTGCAGCCTTGAACTCCCAGCTCAAGTGGTCCACCTGCCTCAGCCTCCCTATTATAACAGCTAGAACTACAGGTGTGCACCACCATGCCTGGCTAATTTTTCTTCATTTTTTTTGAGATGGGGTCTTGCTATGTTGTCCAGGCTGGTCTCAAACTTCTAGCCTCAAGCAATCCTACCACCTCAGCCTTCCAAAGCCCTAGGATTACAGGTGTGAGCCACCACACCCGGCCTTTTTCCAAATATTTTCGATCCACAGTTGATTGAATACATAGATACGAAACCTGAGGATATGGAGGGCCCACTACATATCTGAATTTTTTAAAAAATTTCATGAATATTAAGTGTATTAATTCATATGAAAGGTTTAGCATGGTGCTTAGCATACTGAATACTCAATAAATGTTAGCTATTTTTGGCCGGGAGCGGTGGCTCACGCCTGCAATCCTAGCTCTCTGGAAGGCCGAGGCGGGTGGATTGTTTGAGCTCAGGAGTTCGAGACCAGCCTGAGCAAGAGCAAGACCCCGCCTCCACTAAAATTAGAAAGAAATTAATTGGACAACTAAAAATATATAGAAAAAATTAGCCGGGCATGGTGGCGCATGCCTGTAGTCCCAGCTACTCGGGAGGCTGGGGCAGTAGGATTACTTGAGCCCGGAGTCTGAGGCTGCCGTGAGCTAGGCTGACGCCATAGCATTCACTCTAGCCAGGGCAACAGAGTGAGACTCTGTCTCAAAAAAAATAAATAAATAAAATAAATGTTAGCTATTTTTATGACTGAACCTATCTGGACAATATACACGACTTCCATTCAGTGTTAAAAAACAAGAGAAAACCCTGGCAATTAGCTCATTAATAATACAAAGCAAAAGTTTTACATAAATAGAAATAAGATGAAGAGCAGCAGGCTTTAAAAAACATCAACTATATCAATTTGTGTCTTCTTTTAGATATGGAAAAATACAGGACCTATAATTTCACTCCTAGTGCATTCTGACATTCCTTTTAATTTTTTTATTTGACATTCCTTTAAAATATACGTAGCATGTGTTCAGCTAAGAAACTTAAAGACAGGTTCAAACCGAAAAGTAAAAGTTCCTCTCCCCCTACAGCTTTCCATCGTTAAATTTATTTCCTTCCCACACACAAAATCTTTCAAGTTTATTATCCATATATATTTAGTAGACATATACCAAAATGTATAAAATCTTTAAACTATTCCCTTTGAACAGAAGGGGTACTGAATACACTGATTCAAATCTTATTTTCTTTACTAATATATATAGGAGTTCTTTTCAAATCAGCACATATACTTCTATCTCCTTTTTTATTTCTTTTATCCCATCTTCTGGCTATAACTTAACCAGACCCTACAAACACACACTTCTCCCAGTTACTGTTATAAGCAATACTGCAATAAGTAGCCCTAGTTACATACCCTGAAAACCTTTTGTGAGTCTACTGTTACGATTAATTTCTAGCAATGGGATGACTGTTGTCCAGGCTGGAGTGCAGTGGCATGATCATAGCACACTGCAGCCTCAAACTCCTGGGTTCAAGCAGTCCTCCTGCCTTGGCCTCCCAAGTAGCTGTGACTACAGGCATGCACCACCATACCCAGCTAATTTAATAAAAATTTTTTAGAGATGGGGTCTTGTTGTTGCCCAGGCTGATCTCAAACTCCTGGGCTCAAGCGATCCTCCTGCCTCAGCATTCCAAGTCACTGGGATTACAGGCATGAGCCCCCACACAGGGCTTAGAAGTTGTATTTTCATTAAAATTATAAACACTTTACATTTTGAGTTCTGTTTGTGTAAAAACGAGGAACAATGCATGATTTTGTTAGAACCTAGATAATGTATCTTTAATTCCATTTTTAGATTCATCCATAGAGTGAATTTTGCTCTTAGCCTTTACTACTTGGTTGGATACATTCTTACATCTAAGTGGTTTTTCATCTTTGTTTCTTTAATCAGCTCCCCTTTAAAAATTACTTTTTATTTTACCATCTTCTACACCTAATCAGCCATCTTCTAAATTCTTTCAGTCTCTCTCTCAAAAAAAAGAAAAAACATCACAATTCTATCTCCAATTACCTGACTTTGTGGAGTAGATGCAGAATTTCCAGTTGAAGGTCTCACTTTTGAAGTTTTACTTAGAGCTTTCTTCTGCTGTAAAGCCATGGTATACTTACTCACAGCATTCCGATATTCCTTATCATGAAAGAGAGAATCTGCATGATACACCAAAAGCTGGTACTTCTGAGATGGGGAGAATAACTCTCTAGAAAATAGAGAAAGTATACCCCCTACATGGGTTGCTTTGAAATGTTAGAAAAGAACACCTTTCTTAGTGTCCACATAAGCCTAGCACAAAGCCTTGTAATGTTTATAAAAAAGTCAATGTACCGTAAGTGCTAGTCCCTAAAGTGAGAGGCATGAAAGTTGAACTCTATGCTAACATGATCAACAGATCTAGACTATTGCTTTAAGTTGTTCTGTTTTAATATAATTTAATATTTTCTTTGCTTAATGTAAAAGCAGTGATACCTATAAATCGAATCCAGTAATACAGATATATAGAGAAAACATAATACATCTTTTCCTCCCCTTCTTTAATCCAAGCCCTCTTAATTTAACAGTTTGATATATAGCTGTCCATACTCTCTTATATTAACATCAAGTTTTAAGGATAATATAGACAAAAGAGAGCAACCACAATGACTTAACTAATATTACCAAAGAAGAGTTAAAGACCTGGGAAACAAAAACCTCACCACTTTGAATTCTTTTCAGGGAGAGGCTGAACAAAAAGTTTGGAGACCTGAAAGCTCTTTAAATACTGAAGAAAATTCTGAAGAAAATATGGAAGAATAAGAATGAAACCCTGTCTCTACAAAAAATAGAAAAAATTAGCCACGCATGGTGGTGTGCATCCATAGTCCCAGCTACTTGGGAGGCTAAGGCAGGAGGATCGCTTAAGCCCAAGAGTTTGAGGTTGCAGTGAGCTATGATGACGCTACTGCACTCTACCCAGGGCAAGACTCTGCCTCAAGAAAAAAAAGAACAGGTACGCTAGTGGTTGCAGGGAAAGGGGGACATTGGGAAATAACTACTAGCAGACACAAGGTTTTTTTGGAGGTAATGAAAATGTTCTGGAATTAGATAGGGGTGATGGTTGCACAATCTTGTGAATATACTAAAACCCACAGAATTGTACCCTTTTTAAAAATTAATTTATTTAAGAGACAGGGTCTTGCTATGTTGCCTAAGCTGGCCTCAAACTCCTGGACTCAAGCGATCTTCCCGCCTCAGCATCCCAAGTAGATGGGACTATGTGACTATAGGCATGTACCCAGCTGAGAATTATACTCTTTAAAAGGGTGAATTCTATGGTATGTGAATTACATATATATTTTTAGAAAAAATGATAAGCAGGCTAAACATTGGATATAAAGTTACAAAAAATGCAGGAACTGAAAGGTATAGTCCAGATGACTTAAGATCTCTTGCAACTCTGAAATTCTATGTATTTAGTGAAAAATAAACACTTGATGCTTGGATTAAAAAATATTACTACACCCACAGAAAGCATTCAGATATGTATATATTGTAACATACATGCCTACTGATGCATGCATAAATTCTCTCTGGAATGACACACGAAAAATTTACAGGTGTTGCCTCTGGAGAAGGGAAATGGTGGGGGTACAGTTCAAGACTCAGGGACAGACACTGATCTGCACACCCTTTCTCTACAGTTTGAACTTTTTTTTTTTTAACAGTGTAGGTACTGCTTATTCAACAAGAAATTTTAAAATACAAATGATGAAGGTCAGAACTCAAAACACCTCCTGAAGCTAAGAAACTGCCAGTCTAACCTAGTATGAAAAAGCGTGTGCTAACTAAGTCTAGCTAGGGGATTAAACTGCTTCAAACTATCCTGTAACATCTTAGAGAACAAGAGTAATGACTAACTGGCACATAAATCCCCAAAGGTGGGAAGTGTACGCTCTGACAAAGAACCAAGTGAAAGGCTCCAGAATAAACACAGAAGGCTGACAGAGACCAGAACTCCTCACTATCAACACTAAGTGGATGGTAGCAAAATGATGAGTCTCACTAGTGAGGTCCAAAGCACACTAATGGAAGTGAAATGTGGAGCAGCAGCTGCAGGCACTTAGGGGCCTTTCCTTTCTGATCTAGGCTAGCTTCTAGAGCAGGCCAAACGCTAATGGGTCCACACACAGAAGATCCCATTAAAATGCCATTTGGTAGCAGCAGGCAGTGGTGGCTCAGAATGGAGACTCTGGAGCTAGAGACAAGGTCCAGACATCACTTATAGAGGTGTGAACTTGGACAAGGTATTTTACCTCCCTGAGGTTGTACTCACTTTCTTAGCACATTTGATAAGCATGTGTGGGCTTACTGCACACAGCCACTGTGCTGACTTCAATAGGTGTCAAGAGTGATGCAGAAACAAAGCGGGCCAACAGGTAAAAAGAGTATCAGATAATTCTGGTGGTCAGAGAAGGGCTCCCCAGGAGGGACATATGAGCTGAAACCTGAACGAGGGGATAGGTGAGATAAAGACCCCAAGCAGGAACAGCAAGGGCAAAGGCCCAGAGCTGAGAACAAGCTTGGTGCGTTCAAGCAACAGAAACAACAGCCAGAGAGGCTGGAGTGCGGTGAACAGAACGGGATGAAGTCGGAGAGAGAAGGCAGATGTCTGCCGGCTTCGCAGGCCACGGGAAAGATTTTAAGTGCGATGGAGGATGTTAAGCAGGGAAGAGACGTGATTAAAGGCTGGAATTAGCCCTGTGCTCCGTGTGTTATAAGACTCAATAATGGGCAGCTCTGGAAACAAGAAAGGCGCCACTCCCACCCATCAAGGGAATCTCCCGTTTTCAAGAGCTTATCGAGGTAAGAAAGTGGACCCTCCTGATACACTTAAAAAGAAAAAAACCAATTTCAAATATGGGCCCAAAATATTAATATAAAAACCAGGGAACTGAGTGTCTCAGAGCTGCAGCGAGCGAGAAAACGTTCTTTGGGAAGGAGCTGAGAGGGGAGGACTCAGCCCAGCGATATGACAGCAGCTGTGCCCCATGACAGGTGCCTCAGGAAACCCCAGCCAGGGTGGTCCTCAAAGCCTCCGCCTTCTATTTCTCGAAGCTGCCGCTCACATCCCCCGCAGGGAGCCCATGCCGGGGATCCGCACAACGCCGGCACCCAGTGAACTCGACTTGCGCTGCGAAGTCGGCTCCGCTCGACGAGGCCCTCGCTGACCCCGGAGCCTCAGCTGGGGCCCGCGGCCGCTCCTTCCCGCCTGCTCCCACACGCCCTCGACCCAGGCTCCCAAACCGCCGCCGCTTTCTCCTTAGTCCCAGGCCGCTCCCCGCCTCAACTCACGGGTTATTATTACTCATTGTAAGTAACAAGCTGCTGAGGAGCCGCACGTTGGAGTGCAGCCCCGCGGCCGCCATGTCCCGCACGTGGTCTATCACATTCATTCTGCCCGACAAGGCCGCCGACAGCGGCAGCAGCAGTGGCAACTCGAAAAGCCTGTACAGGATCCTTAGGGAAGACTCCAAAATGGCGGCATCTCCGGGGTCCATCGGGTCCTCATGCGGCACCGCCCCTAAAAAGAGGTAACTACTGAAATGCCTGAATAAAAAGAAACTTCACTTTCCTTTCCCCGTGGTCTCTCTTAAGCGGAATGATTTGTTGTTTTTACTCAAAATTACGCCATCACCCCAAACTGAAAACTTTACTGAGGGTTTCCAATGAGACAAAAGTCACCTCAGTAAGAGTACGTGGTCAATAGGAATGAATCTGAGAGGAATTTTTGTGCCTCTCAGAAATTAATAAAAATGTATGGAACTTTACCATAAATAAAAGTAAATACAGTAGGGTGATAAAACTCCCCAACGTCTGGAATATTCTAGTTAGGCGCCAGGGGCAGACCTAACTGCTTTTACACTCGCGCATGCGCACCAGGCTGAAAGCGCCACGCCCCCTCCTAAGGTGCTCTGTGTACTGACAGAGGCTTCTCACCCTGGGTACGCTGCTTGCTGCAAAGGGCACGTTTTGCCCTGTGAAACGACTCACTAGATCAGTGTGAATAAAAGCTAGGTCCAAGAATGAGTTGATACCCATATTAACCAGCATTTGTCTGGAACAATTAACATCTTTAAAAAGTTTTACACGAGTTATTGGTTCCCCTTTCAAAGTTGAAGTTTTTGTCGTTTCCTTTTCACAGGGTAAGAAACTGAAGCTGCCTGCTTAAATTTTGTGCTTAGGTTGTTGAATGGTTGGCTTGGAATCAGATGTTCTGACTTCAAATCCCTTGAACACACAGTAGTTAAATATTAATATTTTGGATCTCAAACTCAAATGTATACAAGGGCCAGGGACGTCATTGAGTGAGGCAGTTTATGTGTTTCAATTAAATAGTTGGAATATTCTCCACTGTCGCAGCCCGCACCCACCCAGCCACCCAAATATGGCCCGTCTCTTCTTTCTTGAAGGAGACAGTCGTCTGGGTTTGTATTTTGTTTTCATTTCATTTTACAGAAACAGATGCGAAGAAATACGTGTGTATCTAGCCCGAAAAAAATTACGGCGTAAGCACTTTTCTAAATGGCAATTGACATTATCACTCGGCACATTGGGAGCCACGGGAAAGTGCGAATTGTGGCAAACTGGAGTGTGCGCTTTCTAAATGGGCAGCTGCAACTTTATTTAAATATGTGGGTCCCATGTGGGAATTTTCTGTAACATTTGACTTTTCAAGAGAAGTCATAATCATAAATCTGGATTTTAAAAATTTGAAGTATCGCAATTTTTAAACATCAGCTGAAATGAAAATAATAACAAGAACTCTATACAGAAGAGCAAAAACTTGAAACATCTTATTTATACATTAACAGGAGAGTGGATAAATTGTACTATATTCATGCAAGGGAATGATTTAAATGCTATGCAGCATTTAAAAAATAAATGAACTCCAACATGTGTATTAATATTAACATGAATATGCCTTTCTTTTTGATGAAAAAATTAACAAATGAATATTAACATGAATAAATGTAAAAGCACTGAGTTGATAAAGCAAGTTGTAGACTGTATCATTCTACGATATCATTTAAACAAAGTTTGAAAACACACAAGAAATACTAAATGTTGTTTAAGGATATATACATATTTAGAAAAAGTATAAAAATATTCACAGAGATGATAAACATCAAAATCAGATTAGGAGTTACATCTGGTTTAGGAGCATAGGGAATGCAGTGAGGAAAGGATGTATAGGAGCTTCAACTGTGGGAAAATATTAAGAGCTAATAAAGTTAAGTGGTTCAGGTACATGTATTTTTTATATTGTCCTTCAGAAATGGCACTGGGCAGTGGTTAAGAGGATAGACAGAGGTACTAGATTGCCTGGGTTTAAATCCCATTTTTGCCATTTAGTATCTTAATTAGAAGCCTAACTTGACTTCTCTGGACCTCAGTCACCCCATCTGTGAAATGGGGATGATGATAGTACCTATTTTATGGGATTGTTGTAAAGATTAAATTAATTCATGGGAGAAAGCCTATTGGGGCAGGATGATGGAAGGGATACACACCAAGGTATAGGTAAGAAATGGGTATGTTATCTGTAGTGGATTTAAAAACAATAATAAAATGAAATAATAGTCTGCCTTTTTTTTTTTGAGATGGGATCTCACTATGTTGCCCAGGCTGGTCTCAAACTCCTAGCCTTAAGCAATCCTCCTGCCTTGGCTTTCCAAAGTGCTGGGATTACAGGCATGAGCCACCACAATGGCCTAAAATCTCGTTTTTAATTGACACATAATAATTGTACGTATTTATTGGGTACAGTGTAGTGTTTCAAGGGTATTTAGCATATCCATCCCCTCATACCGTTATCATTTCTTTGTGGGGAGAACATTCAAAATCCTCTCTTCTAGCTATTTTGAAGTATACAATACAGTATTGTTAACTGGAGTCACTCTACTCTGTAATAGAACACTAGAATTTATTCCCCGTCTAACGGTAACTTTGGACCCCTTCACCAATCTCTCTTTATCCCACCCTACTCCCTACCCCCCCTAGCCTCTGGTAACCGTTATTCTATTCTCTACTTCTATGAGATCAATTTCTTTAGATTCTGTATACAAGTGAGATCATGCGATATTGGCTTTCTGTGCCCGGCTCATTTCATTTAATGAAATATCCTCCAGTTTCATTCACGTTGCCACAGATATTTTTGTGGCTGAACAGCATTCCATTGTGTACATATACCACATTTTCTTTATCCACACATCCGTCGATGGACACTTAGGTTGATTCCATGTCTTGGCTGTCGTGAATGGTGCTACCGTGAACGTGGGAGTGCAGGTATCCTTTCGATATACTGATTTGCTTTCTTTTGGATAAATACCCAGTAGTGGGGTTGCTGAATTTCAAATGGCACTTTCTATAATGGAAAATTTCAAATGTATTTAACAATAGAAATATTAATATATTAAGTCTCCATGAACCCATCATCTGGCTTTGATAATTATCTACTCATGACCAATCACGTTTCCTTTGAATTCCCTGGCAGTTTCCCCTCTGATGCTGCAAATTATTTGGAAACCAATTCCAGATTTTAAATAATTCTTTTAGATTTTATATAATTTTATTGATGAATATTTCAGTATTCTCTAAAAGGGAAAGACTCCTTGTGAAACAAAACAATAATACCATGATCACATCTGAAAACAAACAGTAGTAATTCCTCAATATGATCAACTATCTAGTAATTGTTCATATTATCTCATAACTTTGCTGTTTTACTTGAATCTGAATTCAAAAAAGGTCCATTTTTGCAGTTGGTTGGTAAGTCTCTTAAAATATATAGGTTCCTCTTCTCTTTTTTTTCCAATTGCAATTTTTCTTTTCTTTTTTTTTTTTTTTTTTGAGACAGTCTCACTCTGTTGCCCGTCCTAGAGTGCTGTGGTGTCAGCCTAGCTCACAGCAACCTCAAACTCCTAGGCTCAAGCGATCCTCCTGCCTCAGCCTCCCGAGTAGCTGGGACAACAGTCATGCGCCTCCATGTCCGGCTAATTTTTTCTATATATTTTTAGTTGTCCAGCTAATTTCTTTCTATTTTTTTAGTAGAGATGGGGCCTCGCTTTTGCTTAGGCTGGTCTCGAACTCCTGAGCTCAAACGATCCACCCGCCTCAGCCTCCCAGAGTGCTAGAATTGCAGGTGGAAGCCACCGTGCCTGGCCCGTTTCTTAAAGAATGAGATGGTGTTTAAAGTGTGCAACTGGATGAGATCACCAAGATGGTGAATATCATTAGAAAAGAGGTTTGAGGACCCAGTAGTCAATAAAACAGGTCAATGTTTAACAACTGGTGAGAGGGAAGCCATGATTTATAGCCTTTGCCAATTTCTTTTTTTTAATTTATTAATTAATTTATTATTTATTTATTTATTTTTTGAGACAGAGTCTCACTCTGTTGCTCAGGCTAGAGTGCCATAGCATCAGCCTAGCTCACAGCAACCTCAGACTCCTGGGTTCAAGCGGTCCTCTTGCCTAAGCCTCCCAAGTAGCTGGGACTACAGGTGCAAGCCACCACATCCGGCTTTTTATATTTTTAGTTGCCTGGCTAGTTTTTCTCTATTCTTAGTAGAGATGGGCTCTCGCTCTTGCTCAGCCTCGTCTCAGACTCCTGAGCTCAAGCAATACTCTGGCCTTGGCCTCCCAGAGTGTTGAAATTACAGGCGTGAGCCACCTCACCCGGCTGCCTTTGCCAATTTCTATGGTATAAATACCGTTACTGTGGCCAGTTATAAGCTGCCAACTGTGTAACAACTGGCTGGCAAATTTCCTTAAAATGTAAACAATTGGTTCTCTCAGCATGGACCAGCCTCAACACATCACTGGCCCTAGGGCATCCCACCAGTAAGAGGTCGTGGAGAAGAGGAGAAACATGAAACATAGACTGAGAAGGAACGGCCAATGAGGTGGGGAGAAGAGAAAGAGAGGTTGGTGTTCTGGAAGCCAAATGAAGCATGTGGTTCCAAGAAGGTGGGAGTAGTCAACTGCAGAAAGTGCTGGAGAGAGGTCAAGTAAGATGAGACATGGCCATAGTATTTAGCAACGTGGAGGTCATTGGTGATCTTGACAAGAGCGTTGCAGTGGAGTTTTGGTCAAGAGAGGGTGGGAGGAGATCAGTGTGAGACAGTGCAGATAGAAAATGCTTTTGAGTTTTGCTGCAGAGCAGTGGTTGTTAACTGGGGGTGATTATACCCCCAAGGGGACATTTGGCAATGTCTGGAGACAGGGGTGAGGCGGGGGTCGCTTCCAGCATCTAGGGGTAGAAACTAGATGCTAAACATCTTGCAATGCACAGAACAGCTCCCCACAGAAAAGTGGAGCAGAAATTTAAATTTACACATTTAAATATCCATTCCAAAATGTCAAAATGTCAAGGCTGAGAAGACTTGTTGTAAAGGGAGGGAGGATGTGGGTGGTAGCAGGTGGGAAAAATACAGGATTTTTTTCAGATGGGAGAAATAATATGTTTTTATGCTAATGGAATGAAGAAGAATATATCA